AGCACTAACATCAGACAATATCATCAATCTAGGGCGAGTTACCTAGTTTCCATGAAACAACAGTTGACAATTAGGAACACGAAACTGAAATCATCAGCTGGGCTATGTTCCCTGCAGCCCACTTGTCATTCAGGATCTGATCTTGCTTCCTGCTTTTACAAGTGCACCAGCCCAGCAGAAACTTGGGCTGAATTTCTTCAGTTTTTTCCTCCCCCATTCCTTTGCCCGTGTAATACGCCTCTAAAGGATGTACTGGCATGAAGAAATTCATAAAGTCAAACCCGAGCACAGGGACGGTGCTGTGGATAGTTCTCAAATTGGACAAGCGGGAGAACACGATTGTGCAATACCTTTGTGGCAACTACATCAATTGCTTTCGTGGAAAAATAACAATAGGAAAGTGTTTAATTATTTTTAATATGGTTTTCGGTGTGATATGTGGGTTGCAAACAGGGAGCTGAGCCAGCCCCTTGTGACTGTCCGGCTGAACAAAAAACCTTCCTGCAACAGCACTTGAGACTGATCTGCCGAAACCACCGAGTGTAGAAGCTCAGCGTCACGGCTGGAGGTTTTCTGGTTGATGAAGGCGTTCAGGCAAGCTGTCGGAGAAGTGCGAAGGTTAGGTTAAACACTTGACTTTCTAGAAGGCTAGGAAATCCCAGGCAGCTCCTGGAGGAGCTCCAGTAGTAGCTGCAGCTGTAGGAGTTACGTTACCGTCATCTAGCGGTCCTCCGGCAGTCTGCACCCTCGGGTTCTGCAGTCCAATTTTAGTCAGTTCCCAGCCAACAAGCTTTGCATTTCGCTTAGATTACATATTTAATCGCTTGCTCTCGTGCTGCTAGCCATCAAGCGGAATCACATCCAAATTTTATATTTTTGTTGCAAAGTTCTGTAACACCAGAACCAAGCCTTAACACCTAAGTTTGGAAAATTAATTAATACCATCAGGGCACTCCAGAAAGATAAATACTTTGTTATCTGTAATAATCCAAAGATAAATAAAATACTTATTGGAGAAGCGAAGAGGTTGAACTTGAGGACGCTGGAAAAATTGAGAGAAATTTTTGTTTGGGTGTGCTGGGTAACAATCCTGAATTCATTCCTCATCCTCCAGCCAGTTACGTGCCGCTCACAGTTTTGTTCAAGTTCTGCAAACCCTAGTCATCAGAAAGGCCAATCTATTGCTCTTCAGGGATGCTTGCCTGTCTCCTGCCAGACAAACCAGAGTTTTTGCTCTAAGAAACATTACCAAGTCATCTGAGGAGTCGCAGCCCCAAACATGGCCTGTCTGCTGACCTTTCTCCTTCACTGCTCTGTCCTCATTCTTCTTGGAGTTTCTGCATGTTAGATTTTGGATGAGCTCAAATATCATCTCAGTTTATTTTTAGAGAAAACTCAATAGCAAGACAGAGCTATCACTGCATCATTTCCACAGAAGGACAGACATTTAAGGAGACTGGCATTTCCCCCCCTTCCCCCTCCCCCCCCCATCCTTTTTTTTTTTTTTTTTTTTTTACTCTTTGCATCAACATCAACTCCTTTCTCTCTCTCTGGCAGGTTGCAGCAGAACTCAAAGCAGCCCCTCATGCCAGGCGTAATGCATACAGACCTTGTACCTAAGCATAAATACCAGCTTCACCCACCTTAATTTGTCAGCCTAACAGGTCTTGATTTAACACACCCGCTACCAAGGGATGCCCTTCCCCACAGTGCGCCTGAAGCCCAGCTGAGTGCTGGCCTGACATCCCCCCTGACACGTGCCCATACGAAGACCCCCACAATTTTCACTGTTGTCTCCTGGCAGCAGCAGCAGCAGTAACATTGGCTGCCGTGCTCTTTTTGGTGTAAAAAGATCATGGTACCTGTGCCCCGGCAGCTGCACACAGCTGGCATACAAATCACCTTTGAGGACCCTTTTCAATATATCATTATATTAAGAAAAATGAAAGAGTGTGTGGGTTTTTTAGTATTTCAAGGAGGTACAAAGTAGGGGTGGTCGTGCCAGCTTTCTCTGAAGATCTAAAGAGATCCCCAAAGTCTTTTTAAAATAAACTTTCCCTTAATTGGGAGAAATGAATCAGTGTGCTGTGGGGGGCAAAGAAGTAGAGCACAGCCTGTTTCCCATAGTGCCAGCTGGCTGGCTTCGATTTGCAAACAGCACACAGAAGGCTCTAATAAAATCCTCTAAAAACCGAATGCAACTACTCTGTTTATGGCTGCAAGGGACTGCAGAAGGTTGCGAAAGTGTATCAGCAATAGTCACCTGCGTGAGCAAAGCCATGTGCTTTCCTAGCCTGTTTCTTCCTCATGAAATGCACGATTGAAATACACCTTTTCTACCTTAATATCTACACTGCCATTAAATAGTCCGCGTGTTTGATAGTGCACGCTTTGTCTCTCCCACTGTTCACCCGCAGGACATGCGAGTTACCGTCCGTTTCAAACTGCTCGTCACTTACGCATCCTTCTGCGCATCCTTCCGGGCAGAGCATGGGTGACTGCAGGGCTGTGACTGCAGACAGTGACCTTCAGTGGCCTAGGTGGTTCCACGTGCTGGTTTTCATAGGATGAAGCACCAGTGTAATGCTCAGGGGTTAACACCTTATCGAGTAAAATGGACTCTGTACCTCTCATACCTCTTGGCAGCTAAATCCTGGATTTTCCTGCTGAAAAAACGGAAATTACTTGGCCGGATTTAGCAGAAATTATATCTGCATTTACATCAGCTTTACATGTATTGATCTGACTGGTAAGTTACAGTATGAGGCAAGAATGAACTGGAGTTGGTGGGAAAATTATTAATTCTATTAAAAGTCAACAGCAGAGCTCCCACTGTCTTCTTCTGCAGGGATAGAATTTAATTCTGCTTGTGCTGGTTGAATGAGATTTGTAGGGAATTTTGCTTTTTTAGAGCAGCACAGAATGAAGAGTGGCTACATAGTTCATGGACAAATTAAAAAATACAATACAATAAAAGCAATTACAATAAAGGGTTTGAAAAGACTCCTGAAACAAGCATTAAGGATACCTTCTTTGAAACACAAAGGAAAATTCCCTGCTTAAAAAGATAAACTGCATTTCTAGTTCCTACAGAAAGATTTGGGATAGTATAAAATAAAACGTAATCTAACTTGTATACTGACACTGGAAACACCAAGCAATTGCGTGGTTGAATTTTTTTGCTGGAATCTCAGTGCTGAAGCTTTCTTTCCTTTGCTTCAGGAATTTTCTTAAACACAGAAGTCAGTCCAGTGTGCAGTTGTTTTAAAGCATGATTTTGCTGTGTTGTCCCTCCTTAAAATCCTCAGGCTGTCCTTATGTAAAGTATAGGATCACGATGTGCAGAAATTGTTTGCAGATGGTAAGAAGATGACAATACAAAACTGTTTCACAGGCCACATAATAATGGAATTTAACCCTATTGTATGTGGCTTTTCAGCATTCAGCCAGCTTTCTTTACAGGGAGCAGGCTATTGTCCAATTAATTTCAATTTTAGCTTCTGCACCCTATATCCATTCATTCTGAAAACATACATTTACTTAAACAACAACAGAAAATCTCTTTTCCGCTAACCCTAGATTTAGTGAAACCTCTTAAAGCACACAGCTGCAGAGCACATCCCTGCAGTTCCGGGAGGACTATTGGTGACACTATAGTAGGAGAGGAATTAATCCCCTCAAACCTGAAATGAGGCTGGAGAGCACCCCTTTGAGCTTTAAACCCCAAATGGAAGATGTAAAAACAACCCTCGCAAGTTCCAGTTTTTCATAGGCTCTAAGTTACACCTATGAAATGCTGCAGATTGTTATGTTGTTAAAGGGTGGCCAGAGGAACACAAGGACTCGTTATGCTTTGAAGTATCTACCTTTGGTGCAGACAACCTGTGAAACACAAGGCTCACAGGTGGCTTTGCTGGGAAGCCTCGAGAGACTTTGCCTAAAACCGCAGATGGGTCCCAAGGCTGTGTGATTATGGCTAGAAAGATCTGAATCTCCTGATTCACAACCTCATGAGTTAGTTCGTATTTCCTACCCTATCCATGATTTTGTTTTGTTTTGTTTGTTTTTTGTTGTTTGTTTTTAATATCTATTTATTTTTGTTCATGTTTCTTCATTTTATCAATATGTGGTTTTCCTTTTGAGTATTTTTCTTTCTCCCTGTTCATCACATCTTGGTTTTTTTGTTTGTTTGTTTGTTTTTTTTTTTCTTTCATTTCTCTTCTCTGTTTCTGGCTGTATTATTCACTTTATGATGGTGTTACTTTTTCCCCAGTGTATCTGCCTGAACACCTCTTCTTCATTCTTCCGCGCCTCTTTGTTCTCCCCTGGGGTGCCCAAAGGCCTGAAATTCAGTAGAAAACTGCTACTGGATGGCAGTGGAGAAGGAGAGGCACTGAGGTCAGGCCACACACATCCCACGGTAGGTTGGTCACTTCACAGCAAGCATCCACACGCAGAAGACGTGGGAGAGCATCCCACCCCCTGGCCGCAGGCTGAGGAAACAGACTTGGTATGTGGAGGTTCATTTCTTCCCACTGGCTTTGCCACAAAGCTCTCTCCTTTTACTCAGTTTGCCCCAAGCTTATAGAAAGAAAACCAACATAATTTTTGCAGTGGCACTTATATGCAACAAATAACTGAGTGGAGATTTAAGTAATATTTCAATTAGTTGCAAGAATGTGCACTCCATGCACTGATGAGGACTTTCCCACCAGCTAAATTTAATTTTCACAAGGTGTTTTGATCCAGCAACTTACCACTTTTAGGACTTTGTTCTCCTCGAATCTCGAGGGATCATTTCACAGAAGAAACGTGCCAGAATTTGCCTATCCAGTAGGCAATGAGCTATGTTTTAGAGGAAAACTTGTTCTGTGACTGCAACATTCAATAGTTCACATTTTATATGCCTGCTAACACCATCTGTCTAGACCAGAGGCTGTAGAATCACATTTGCTTTTGCACCATCTTCACACTGAATGAATAAAACCAAGACAGGACAA